ATCGGTTCATAAATATAAATATGACGAACTAGACAGATTAAAAGAGGTACAGAAGACATAGATGATGATTTAGACACAGCCTAGATATGTAAGTTCCAACTTTATTTCCAACTTGTATTTTTAAAATAATTACCTGTTTTTAAAGATGAATTTATTACTAAATTTTTGGGTTTTTAGTATTTTATTAACATTTTATGTTTTAATTTAAATTTTTAGTTCAACCATTACTCACGACCTATCAATGGATAATATCAGTAATATTAAAAATGAATCAAGTGATACTCAAACAAGTCTAACAGATGAACAAACTTCAGCTGCACGTAGTAAACTAGTAAAAGTGGTCATGTCCACCAAACTTCCATAACTGCATTCACCTTCAAATCTATGCCAAAATGTACAAAGTTAAAACTAGATAAAGCTCTAGCATATTATATATCATTAGATATGATTCCATATAGTATTGTAGACAAAGAAGTATTTAAATTGTTTACAAAAGCGTTAAATCCGAGTTATCAATTACCAAGCAGAAGTACTCTGACTAATAAAATAATTCCAGATTTATTCAAAGAGACAAAGCTAAAGATTGAACAAATATTGTCAGAAGTTCCATTTTTATCAATAACTACAGATTGTTGGACTTCTGTTGCCAATAAACCATTCATAGCTATCACTTGCCACTTTTTTTACAAATATTTTAACCTTGGTAAATATTTAATTAAAACGTCTCTAGTATTTAAAATAATGTTACTAAATGTACTAATTATTATTGTTTTGTCTATTTACTGTAGGAACAATTACAAGACTCAAATTTACACCTGTAGTGTACATTTCAAAAGAAATTAGTTCTTATTTTCAACTTCCTAAAATTTCATATGAACAAGATCCAATAAAGTGGTGGTCATTAAATAATAGTATGTTTCCTATTCTTGCAGTGACTGCTAAAAAATTATTAAGTGTATAAGCTACCAGCGTAGCATCAGAAAGAGTCTTTAGTCGTGCTGGGAATATAATTGACCGATGATCATTGTAGTCAACTTAAATTTTGGTCAATGAACAAAAAATATGTGAGCAACCACTTTAAATGTTCCTTTTAAATTATGATTTAACTATTTTATATAAGTTACTATTACCAAAATAAGTTGTTATTAATTTTAATTTTATTTTTTTTTTAAAAAAAAAAGTATTAAAGAAAGTAATTTCTATGTGTACTTAAAAAGAAAACAAGTTTCTTTTAAATTTTTTAAATATTGTACAAAAGTTACTATTGTTTTGTTTTGTTTTTGTTTTTAATTTTGTTTTTTTAAAAAAAAAATAGTATTTAAAAGAAAGTTATTTCTTATGTGTAATTGAAAAAGCAAGTTTCTTTTTAATTTTTTTAAATGATTATTTAAATATTGTACAAAAGTTACTATTGCAGTCTGAATTACTAAAAAAGAATGTTTTGTTTTTTTTTAATTTTAATTTGTTTTTTTTTTAAAAATATAGTATTTAAAAGAAATTTATTCTTATGTGTAATTGAAAAAAACAAGTTTTTTTAAGTTTTTAAATGATAAATGATTATTAAATTTAGTCCAGTGGCGGTTTTGGGGGTGAGGCAAGTGAGGCACCGCCTCACTTGTAATTTTTACGAAAATAAAAAATATTTGGTTTTATTGGTATTTTGTACTATTTAATTTAAATTTTAATCGTATTAATTTAATTTTAATTTTAATTAATTAATTATTGATATTTATTATTTTAGATATCATTTATATTTTATATATATAACAACAAATATTGAATATTATTTTTTGTACAGAACTTGTGCGAACTGCGAACGCAAGATGGCCTGCGTGTCGCTTGCAACGTAACTTACGAGCTATTATAATATTAATAGTTTCCATTTAATATTGCGTCCGGCCCGGCACGGCGCCGCCGCCACCGCCAGCGCTAAAGCGTTAAGATCGACAGAGGCGAGAGGCGGTAGCCGCCGTCGCCTAAGTTAGTGCATGCGAGGTGCGTCTACGCACACACATATAAGCTCGTAAAATAGTGTAAATTGCGCATGCGCAGACCGCCGCCAGAGGCGACTAATATCAACCGCTCAACGATATTATAAACATTGGCCGACGCCGCCGGGACCGCCGGTACATTAATTGTATGCATCCGCGCTACTTGCTAGGTGGGGGGCTGCGCTTGCCAGACGGCCGTCGCGGTGTCGCACGTCTGTTATCTTTTGGTCGTGAAATATTCGTCTGTCCATGACGTAGTTACACTCAGTTACAGTATTATACAGTATAGTATAACATATTTGTTCCTGTGTTAGAGTAATAGTTTATTTACTATTTAATATTTTTCCGCCTCATGTAAAATTATATGCCAAAACCGCCACTGATTTAGTCATCTCTGTAATGATTTTTTTGTAGTTGTCGAGTATAAAATTCTATTATATCGTTACTTACGTCCATAGTTTTTAATTTGATATCATTGTTTGCGGTACCAATTGTTAATTTTTGTTGAGTCAATTTTTTCCAGCTTGCTGGCATCGTTTAAACAGCATAATATCTGGACCCGAAAAATTGGTCATTTTCAATTCAAATATTGATCGTAGTATAAGTTATAAATATGGTGACGACATGGCAAATAAAAGAAGGCTTTATTTAGTAACTGCTCCAAAAAATACAAGCCATATTCATTCTTCCTGTATTAGATGCGTAGTCTCACAGCACAGTGCATTCACACGTTTAGATAGGTCCCAATCGTTTAATAATTCGTACACAGCATTTGCCATATTTTGACCAGTACCGGAATCTAATTTTGGAACTCCAATTAATTGTTCGGAGCCTTGAAATGTTACTATAACCGGAAGTCAATCATGTTGAATAAATTTACTAGTAGGCAAAAGTTTACAATCCCAATGAACTACAATGGCTTTAGAATTTGTTTTGAAATCTTCTTTTAATTTAACTGCAATATTTTTGTTTGTAGTCGACGTTGCCTAATAGATGTTCGGTTAATTATTAGATTACAAGTATCGTGTCCTAATGCTTCAGCAGTTGCCATAAGAATGTGAACTGCATCAAGATCAATAGGGCTAGGATTTTAATGACCCAAAAAACCTAAAAAAAATGACATTAAAATAACCTAAAAATGACCTAAAAAAATGGCCTTAAAATAACCTAAAAATTACCTTAAAAATGCCCAAAAGATTTTTTGCCCGAAAGAAGCATTATAATTATTAATTTTTGATTGAACTAAAGTGTTCACAGTAATATAGATGCGTTTATCCATGTTCCCCACCTAGTTATCACAGGGTTAGGTGGTAAAGGTATATCGGGTGCAAAATTTTTAAAAATAAGAGTACGAGATGGAGCTTTTAAAAATACTTTCTTCATATTTGATATGAATTCGTCTACTAAAGGGAAAGCCAAACACGTAACATGTTCCATATTTGCATACAATAGCTTTAAATATCTGGCCGTTTTCGCCATGTATGGAGCTGCATCGGTTACAAATAAAAGTACATTTTCACGTTTTACTCCATTAGGCCATAAAAGTAAAAGAGATTAATCGAAAAATCTAGCAATTGTTCCATGATTAGCTTTTTCCAGGCATTCGGAATTTAAAGGAAAGTTTTACCTGGATGACCAATTTCCAACGTTCCAATTAGCAACATATCGACCAGCTGCATCTGAAGTTTCATCTGTTGAAATCCAAATTTTTTTCCCCGAGGCACATGTTCTTATTTTATTCATAGTTTCTTCGTAACATTTATTTACGTAATTTTTTCTTAATGTAGACGAGTCCGGAATTGTTTGTTTTTGTATAGCTTTCAAGAAAATTTCGTAAAATAGGATGAGATAATTTATGTAACGGTATATTTGCACTTAAAAATGCCCTGCACAGATCTAGATTAAAATTAGAATTTCCGTACTCAGAATACATTGGTTGTGTTATAGAAGTCGTTTGCTCGTATGGGTACTTAACGAAACCATACGTAGGTACACTCCACACCACTGTCATCTAATTTAACGATTAAGATAACTCGTGGTATCGAAGTTTATTGTTGTAATATATAAGTGGTTTTATTATCGATAACGAGTATTAACACACTACTACACACTGTACTCTCCACATCACTGTCATTTAATTTAACGATTAAGATAACTCGCGGTATCGAAGATTATTCTCTATACTATCTCTATAATTTAAATATTAAATATGATATTATTTCTGTTACAAATTCAAAACTTTTATCGAGAACATCTAGCGTAAATGAGAATGTATAAAAATATTACCTAGATTTCAAAAAAGTATAAAAAATGCCCGTAAAATTGAAAAAATGACCCTAAATCCATAAAAGTACAAAAAATGCAAACAAAGCAAAATAAAAACTATATATTTGGACTCGTATATGACCTAATCACATTTTGTGCTTGAAAAGTGCATTTAAAAATGCAAAATCCTATACTCCGGCCGGAATAAGAACGTACCTCGTCGCGCAGGCGGCGACCGGTTTCCCGTCCGCAACCTTGTCATAGTTATAAACATATAGTTATAGTCATAACTATGATCTGCGCGCAACAAACTTGTTTTGGTCCGCAGCCCGGGTACGTTCTTATTCCGGCCGGAGTATATACTATCCTAGCCTAACGATCAATAACTTTGCAACGATCCAAAACCATGAGGGGACGATCATTAATCAATCTTGCCTCGTTTAACTGAGTTAATCGTACTTGTTGAAGGTATAGACATTTCACTATCAGGTTCTGAAGTATAGTCAACGCCGCATTCTTCTTCAGAAGAAGAAGAAACCAGTTCTATTTTGTTATCTGCCAAAAAAAACTATTTAAATTATGTAGTTATTTTGAAAATTTGTTTTAAAAGAATATATTCATATTATAAATATATTTTTTATATATTTTGTATTTAGAATATTCATTATCCACTATATTCAATTTTTCTCCTTCTGTTTTTGAACGTTTAGATGTTTCATGTAATGATTTTAATCTATTAGCCTTTTACTTTTCAGCTTGGAACAATTTAGTATCAACTCCCATCATATAGCCCTTCCGTCTTTTTTCCCTTTGGAGAAGTAAAAAATCTCTATCTTCCTGGACACCTATAATAACAAATGTTTTTTTTTTTTAAATTGAACAAAATATTATAACTATAATGCGTCATAGTAAAAAATGATTACCTAACATATTTAATGCGTTCGCATGTGCAATGTCAAATAAATCATCCAATTTTGAGGTGAACACCACTTCTTTTTTAATTTGACATTCGGTTCTTTTTGTAGAATTTTTTTGAACTGTTCTCCATTCATAATATAATTTTTCAAGCTTATATATACAATGCTGAATTTCTTGTACAGGAATTCTTGCTTTTTCCCAAAATATTACTATTTCACGTACAGCGAGACGAGGACTTTCACGTATGTTTATTTTAACAACTTGTAAATTGTAGGAAAAAACTAATAAAACCTGCTTAATGGACGGCAATTTTCCACCAGTAATTTGACTGCATTCGTTACCCAATAAAAACACATTAAATCTTATTTTTGAACACATGATATTATAAATTCACGACAATATTTTTAGAGAAACACAATTGAAAAACACTGGAAAACGACTGTTACATGCGGCCCTTCAGGGATCCAAAAGCTTGTTGCACTTTTACAATAAAATGTAGTCAATTTAAATATAAATCAATTGTAATTTATTAAAACCAATAATAATTAATATAGTCGTGGTGAATTGCAGCGTCGTGAGTTGACTCGTTGTAGTAGTCGATAATCTCCATGTAAGTCGTGTGTAATGGCTGGTGGCTAAACGGCTCGCTCGGTCTTGGCGGCTCTGGTACATCTACTTTGGCTGTCTCGCTGTCCCCTATATATATGGTGGCGGCGTCCTTTGAAGTGAGCGGCGCGTGTACAGTCGTCCTTGATATGGACCCCACGACTATGAAAGTGGTATTCTTAGTCGAAAACACTTTTGGGTGTGGTCGCATTCCTGGTTGTTTTTATGAGCAAATATATGATATTGCGTAATCCCATTCCTGGTTGTTATTATGAGCAAATACATGATATTGCGTAATCCCATTACACGACTGACGACTGACGGCTGTTCACAAACTAATCTCTGGACTAGAGAATTTATGTTGTGTAATTAACGTCAACTATCATCAACATCGGGTGCTTTCGTCTTGGACGATTTGGCGATTACAGTGCTTACGTTAACAATACCGTATATGAACGGTTCGACTTGAGATAAGCGGTAGTAAGCAATATCACGTAAGTTTCAAGACGAACGCAAATTATTCGTGCGCGATCATTGCGACTAGGGATGCCTAAACTGAATTTAATTTCGATATATCAATATATCACAACAACCAATATCGTTATTTGATATATATCGAAAGATAAATATCGATATAAAACTACAGACTGATAACTGATAAGTGATAACAGTAAAACAGTTAATTTTTTTCATTATTTACTTTCCAGTGTTTCAACTTATAATGTAAATATTATTATAATTTACAATATTATTTACTAAGTTGTTACTTGTTAGTCACTTAGACTCGGTCAGTTACAGAATACATTGTTACAAATTAAAAATGCCATTAATAATACAAGTAGAATAGTCAATAATTCACGTAATCACACATTAAGTAACATAACTAGTAACGACGCATTCAATTCATTTAACCTACAATTAATATAATTTACAAAATATGAGCCCATTGATTTTTATCGGTAAACTGCAAGAATAGAAGCTTTGACAAATGTTTGCCCGTCAATCGATTTCTGGTTTTACTTACAGTTTCTCCAGCTTTACTGAACAAACGCCCGGATGGTACAGATGTTCCCGGAATCAGTAAATATTTTATTGCCTACTTGTACAGCTTAGGATATATTACCTTTGTGTTTTCCCATTCATCCAAAGGATCTTCATTTAATTTGATGACATTTCTGTGCTAGTATTGATTTAACTCACCTCTTGAATTATTAAGAGTTAATCTTATATCTGATCACCTTTGTTCCAATGTTTTATGAAGACCCCATAAGTCATATTGGTTGTGATTACTTTGTAATGAGACAGAATTGCTGATGTTATTTTTCGTTGTATAACGTTTACAAAAACTACTACTCGTGCGCTGTGTAGTAGAGAAACCAGGAAATAGCCGACCGCCGCCGCCGGACACCGGTGCGCAACCCGTCGACAACAACAGAACTAATTGTCGTGAGTACGCCGAAGCAAGAGCCTCATATCGACAACAGATAGCGCGCCACCGGGTAATATTCACGAACAGACATTTCATTATACTAATTAACAGTTTCATGTTAATTAGTTAATGAAACTAATACTACCAGAAGAAAAGGCGACATCTAAAGTAGAGACTACGCCACTCACATGATGAATCTACATCGCTAAGTTTAACAAACACATCAAAAAGTAACTATGACCGACCGGAGTTCTTATTTGCTGCGACCACAATAACAGCCAGTAAATATACCCCGGGAGCAGTCCCGAAATCAACATTCCCTCGCTGCTGAGCTCGGATATGGTGTATACCAGGTCAAACGAGCCAGTACGCCGCTATCGACACTGCCGCCGCCACAGTTCGCCGCCGCCGTTGTTCGCTTTTAGTCTCCTATTGAGCTTGGACATGGATAAAACCAGGTCAGACTGAGCCAATACGAGATTTTACCGTCGTCGCCGTAATTAAACGTCGCCGCCGCCGTTGTTCGCTTTTAGTCTCCTATTGAGCTTGGACATGGATAAAACCAGGTCAGACTGAGCCAATACTAGATTTTACCGTCGTCGCCGTAATTTAACCGTCGCCGTCGTCACAGTTTGTTTTTTGTCTCCTATTGAGCTTGGACATGGATAAAACCAGGTCAGACTGAGCCAATACGAGATTTTACCGTCGTCGCCGTAATTAAACGTCGCCGCCGCCGTTGTTCGCTTTTAGTCTCCTATTGAGCTTGGACATGGATAAAACCAGGTCAGACTGAGCCAATACTAGATTTTACCGTCGTCGCCGTAATTTAACCGTCGCCGTCGTCACAGTTTGTTTTTTGTCTCCTATTGAGCTTGGACATGGATAAAACCAGGTCAGACTGAGCCAATACGAGATTTTACTGCCGCCGCCGTATTGAAACGCTGCCGCCGTAATTAATGTTATTACATCGTGATCGAGCCGTCGCCGCCGACCGAGTAATAATATTCATGGACTTATTGTGAATAACGAGCCACACGCCGTTATCCAATATTGTCATTTTACCGCCGCCGCCGTATTTAAACGCCGCCGCCGTAATTCGTAATATTGTTCTTCGTAATATATCGTGTTGTCGTACCTACCCGCCGACCGAATATTATTGGTAAAGTTGTTGTGAATAACGAGTTACACGCCGTTATTCATTTTTAATCGTCGTCGCCGGATTCAACGTCGCCGCCGCCGTAATTCTTATTATAACACGTAAATCGTCGTAAACACGCACTCACACATACGCACCACAGTGCAAATCGTATAGTGTATACGCCGCCCGCATCATTGTACCTACTCGTCGCTGGTCAGGACGTGTTATTGTACCTACCCGCCGACCAGCCATATCAATCAACAACCCAGGGAAGCATCTCGTAAACAATTAGTTCTACGACGACCACTTTCGACTGCAGTCCATCAACGGAGAGCCGTCATTCAGTTCAACCAGTACGTGTGCTCAAAGATTGAACAGTCCACCAGCAATTCCACCCATAATCAGGAAACCGTGAGTCAAAAAATCTTATACTGTCAAAAACCTATTTCCTTGTTATACGTATTTTGAATTGTACACTGCTTTATGCAGTTAATATTATGTTGAAAAGAAAATATTGTGAAAATAATTAATACAATACGAACAATAAATATCAAAAAAAAAGTTAATATTATATTTGAATCAAAAATTGTGTTTGCATTCATTTATTTATATTACAACTTGGAGGGTTCATTGTTTCCTCTGATACTGTGGGATTAATAATTTCATTATAATCATTATCCATAATTTTTAATATGTTTTCTTGAACTCTAGCATTTATTAAAGGATTCCTGAAATGCATATCCTTAAAACAAGAGTCTAATATCGTACAAATTGAAAGTATTGGACCTTGCTCATAAGCTCCACACCAGTTCTTCGATCAGCTTTATTTTTAGTTGTATTGCTATGGTAATGGTAGGGCCTTGCTGTATAATTCATTTTTTGCACATACAATTAATGGAATGATTTTGCTGGACATTACTGTTTTTTCTGTCGAAAGTTCCCTAGTTCCCTGTTCAAAAGGTCGTAATAAAGCACACATTTCTTTTAAACAGTTAAATTCAGAGACAGATACCATCTCTGGTATATCAGTACCATTAACTCAAGAAGCACTTGAGATAAATAAATAGCCAATGTTGAAAACCTTTCAATCATATAAAATGAACTGTTCTATCTCGTCCTAGCATCCAAAATTGGTTCTAAGTATTTACCTTCAATTGTACCTGAACAAAATATTTATGCTTATAGTAAAATTTTTTTAAATATAATATTTTTATTTACCTTGTAATTTTTGACATTTTCTTAAGGAATCACTTGCCTTGGAACTTCTTTTTAAAAACTTTACTATTTCTCGTATTTTGGACATAATTGCTAGGACACCTCCACTTTTAACTTTTGGTTAATATTGAAGAAAATCGCGTTTCTGTCGGAATTTTAGATTGAGGATGAAGGACGGCTTAAATGTCAATTTTACCATTCATCTTTAAACCTTGATGGTTCTGCCCAGATGGTGTACTACATGAGGAGAGAGTGTGAGCAAGAAGAGTTAAACTTCCACGCTGAGCATCGCAGAGATTCTAGGAGGGGGGTTATTGTCAACAGGATCGGCGTAATTATAAGCAGATGCATAATATTGTTCGGCTTCTTCCTTTTCTTGATCTTTCACAGCCCGCTTGAGGTCATCAAATTTGTTAACAAAAGCATTGACTGGTGCACCGACAAGTTTGGTCTTGGTCAAGCCCTCTGATTGATAGTGGAGAAGGTGACTGCAGTCTCCTTATGCACTCCAAACTGAGAAAATTGGGGGATAGACCATATGGGATGATCATGGTTTGCGTGGACTTATAGCTGCACATGTCATAGCAAAATCAGGATTATTTTTGGCAGACAGGGCTGAGTATGCACCGTCAGCGAACAATTTGCAGAATAAGAAAATTTGGTCTCCACTGTTATTCACTGTAAGGAGAAAACTATAGATGTTTTGACAAATCTCGTGGAATGCTTCGACGGAAATTCTTTTTAAGAACTCACATAAAGAGACCCTACACACTTCTGCGGCTTTTTGGGCCCAGTTGAGTTCTCCTAATCCCACTCCTGACAGACTTAGGAGGCATATGGCTTTCAATGCTCCTCTCACATCTGAGTTCGCGTCATCAGATTCCAACTTCAATGCTCCTACCAAAGTAGCCAGCACCACGTTGGATTGAGGGGAGTATTTTCGTAACGAAGATTCCCAGAAATCATAAATTCCGGTGTTGGGAGGCGCAAAATTAGAGAAACCGTGTGTCATAGAAAACACTGAGTTGAATCTGTCTCTAGACAATTGCACAATATGCAGTTCGACAGATGCAGGATCTTTTACAACCAATCGGCATAAAGTTCCAGCCAGAAAAGACAAGATGTGAATTGCGGTGTCGGTATCATCTGTGTTACCTAACATGTCCCACATTACAGAGTAGAACTGTGACATCCATTCTTCGCTCATTGAGACGGGTTTGGGACCATCAAAGTTCACCTGGGAGGCTTTGTCCGTTCCGCTTGGGACGCCTTTTTGAGGCATAAAGTATGGCTTGGTCACCACATCCGATGAAAGCTTTGCCACATTAGTTGCAGCAGTCCATGTATCGTCTCCCAACATCCCCTCAGGTATCAAAAAATGCCCGTTAACCGTAGTATAAAACCACAAACATGACATGGCTTCTATGAAACCCGCTTCCTCCACTTGACCTTGGTAATAGGAATTAAGAAAAACTCGGGCGTGATTGATGGCTTCAGCCTTGTGGGGCCTGATTTTCCTCGGAACTTTGGAGAGGTATGAATTCAGGAATACAAAATCGTTCCATAATACAGATTGAGCTCCGGTTGTCATTACCGCGATATTTTTCACAGGAGCATTATCCAGGTTTCGGGTAGTTAAGACCCCTGCTTTCATTCAATCATCTCTACACTTGGTTGGGTCATGACTGTTGTATCACACAATAAATTGGGGCAAAGCAATCTGAGTTTTTGACAAAACCGCGTGGGTACTTTGTAAATATTTCGGGCCACCGGTGGAGTTCGACTGGACGAAGAGGGACTTGGTTGTTTGGTCTCCTGGATTTAATGTAGTCAAATGATTTTGTTCTTTTCTTCTTTTGTCCTGGACATTAATTTCCTGTGTTTTTTCATTTTCCTACCATTAGGTTTATAGTATGGGCCACACAAGGAATATGTTTGTTGGCAGTAAATTAATTTATTATTGCTTTTTTAAAATTAGCACCACTATCTGTCACAAACGCAACAACATTTTCTTTTTGCACACTCCAGTATTACAAAGTTTCCATCAATGTTTTCCAAATGTATTCGGCTGTGTGACTTTGAAATAATTCAACAGTGCCAATTGTCTTTAAAAATTAATTAAAAATGTTGTTAAATGTAAATATAATATTAATATTTTATTTAACACTTGAATGTATATAACATATAAATTAAACATTACTTGATTCCAGATGAGCTTCTACAATTGTATGTAATGTAACACTAAGGAAGCTCTTCATTTGCATGGTTTCAGTCCATGCATCGGGAGGTACAGCAACATATTGTACTGTGGACAATGATTTTCGAAAATCACCAGCAATTACATCATAAATATCATTAATTCTTCTTTCAATTGTATTGCGGCTAGGAAGTTTATATAATGGACATATTGTCTTGATCATATTTTGGAACCCTTCATTTTCCACTGTTTTAATATATTATGCTATTTGTAACTTTTTCTGATTTTGAACCACCTAAAGAAAAACAATTAACTTAATATTTAAAAAATAGTAATACATAAGAAAAACTGTTTAAACTATTTTTTTACTAATCAATATTAACACTAAAATAAAAATATTTTTCACTTACTTTCCATAGACGTCATTTGCGTAAAAAATTCAGGTAGAGTTGGTTGAGTTTTTGAACGTTTGCTACAGTTAGGTTCCTTTAAATAAAGATTTATATAAATGCTATTTTTAATAATTAATTAGGATTTTATGTTTTTTCATCAATTACAGTGTTAATATCTTGAGGATCATCCTCGTTATCCTCATTATCTGTGCGTGCTCTTTTCTTTCCTTTCAAAATTGTCTGCGAAATTATTTTTCCTGGTACTTCTCTGTCTTTCGCATGTGTAGCCAAGTGCGTTTTTAAGTAACCAATACCTCCATTAGGTGTTTTGTATGGTTTGTTACATTTTTTGCATACATAACTATACTGGTCAATTTTATTAAAATAAACCAACAACTCCTGTTTAGTTAAATTTGCTGACAATATTATAGGAACTTAAAAATCGCAAAAATATAAAATATAAATACTAGGTATTTGACAAGGTTAGTCAAATGTTAGTCAACGTCAGTCGAAAAGTCCTCTGTCTTTCAATCATTTTTATAATCTAAAAACTAAAAATAATTTGAAAACAGATTGCCGCCATAATGCAATGTCATGAAGCTGGTTTTTTCCAAGAAATTATCTTAAATTTATATATCTTATATCTTATCGTGTATATTATCCAAGTCAAGGTGTATTGATGCACATTAATTTTTTCCCAATTTTAAGTCCCGATATTATCTATGTTTTTTCAATTCTTCTAAATCTACTATGTTTATGACGTATTATGGCATTTACAAAAAAAAAAAAAAATTACGGAAAAACGGGTTTTACGATATATCGAGACTAATATATCGACAGGACTGATATATTGAATTATAAATATCGATATAAAAATATCGATATCTTCCTCTAAAATATTGATATTATTCGGGCATCCCTAATTGTGACATAGGACGTTATCACTTTATGCTTTATCACGTATCTCGTTATTCCACTTCCACAGGTCACTGATCCATACGAAATAATTTTTAATTATTATTTAATTCTACAATTATAATTATTAATGGGTGACTTAAATGAACTAGAGTTAGTAGGACTAGCTCTAAAATTAGTTGGTGAAATAATTTTTTTCTCTTCGTCGGAAGAAAGTGAGGATGATGTCATAACTTTGAACTTGCAGTGCCGTTTTTGACTGCCAAAAATGTTATACCAAGAATGGAA